AACTCATGACCTCTCGGTCAGTAGTGATTTAATGCAGGTAGCTCCCAGCTAGCTGCGCCACAGCACGGTCCATATATGTCAAAGTACATTTGTCTGCACTAGGGCTGGGTGGTTTCGTTCGTTAATTTCGTAATTCGTTATTAGTTCGTTATTTTTTATAACGAAGCGATATTGAACCATTCAGGAGCAACTAAAAATCGAAACGAATTTTTCAATTCGTTTCGTAATTGTTTCGTAATTGTTTTGAAATCGTTTCGAAATCGTTTCGTTATTATTTCCGTATGTCTGGTGCAAGTTTTATAGTTGTTGTTTGTTTTATCAGTGATAAAAAAATAAATTATCACACCAACAGTCAACAACAGAGGGAGAGGGAAGCTTCAGAAGTTCCCCCTGTCCCATTTGGAGGTTTTTTAGCGTATTGCGCGGTCGCGTCCATTAACGAATCGATTCGTAATTGTTTTGTAATTTCCGAAATTTCGTAAATTTCGAACTTTTTAAAGAAAAATTTCGGAATTCTTTAAAAAGAAACGCAAAACCCCCCTAAAAACGAATCGAGTTTAGAAACAAATTTTTCCGTGGTTGCCCAGCCCTAGTCTGCACCAAAAAATAATGTTGCTAGGTGAAGTGGCCCTCTGGGGGTGAAGACAGAAAGTATGCAGAGAAGGGAGGGAGGGAGGAAAGAAAGAAAGAGGGAAAGAAGGGAAAGAAAGGAAGGAAATGGAAGGAAAGGGAAGAAAGGAAGGAAGGAATGTCAGGATTATTTAGTTATGTGTGTGTGTGTTTTTCAATGTGCTATGTAATTCAAGATGGATTAAGATGTATTTCAAGATGGATTCTATTCTGTTCAATTGTGTATTAGAAATACTGTACTGAGGCTGTGAAACTGTAACCTTGACAGAAATGAGATAACGTGTTCTCTGGCTGGGAAGAAGAGGGAGGAACTGGTCTCAGCCAGAAGTCAGATAAGCAGATGTTCAGAGACTGTTGTTTTTGCTTAGGAGTTCCTGTCTGTAGCTTGCTGTGAATAGACGTGTGTAGATGTACTTAGTAAAACTTAGTTTTCTGTTATAACTAAAAGTCTGCAGAGTCCTGATTTCTGAACACAGTGTCTGCTGATCTAGCAATCCTTCTGCTGGCAAGCGTCAATACTCTGACAAGGAAGGAAGGAAGAAAGGAAGGAAGGAAGGAAAGCAGGGGGGCACTGGCAGTTTCAGCACTTAAGCAATGCTGGATACTAGGGCTGGGCGGTTTCGTTTCGTTAATTCGTAATTCGTCAAAAATTCGTTATTTTTTTTGTTAACGAAGCGATAACGAACCATTCTGGAGCAACTTAAAAACGAAACGAATTTTTCAATTCGTTTCGTAAATGCTTCGTATTTCGTTATGTATTCGTTTCGTTATTGGTTTGAGGTCGTTTCGTTATTATTTCCGCATGTCTGGGGCAAGTTTTATAGTTGTTTTTTGTTTAATTAGTGAAAAAAAATTATAATATCACACTAACAGTCAACAACAGAGGGAGAGGGAAGCTTCAGAAGTTTTTTTAGCGTATTGCGCGATCGCGGCCGCCATTAACGAATTGATTCGTTATTGTTTCGTTATTGTTTTGCAATTTTTTTACCATTTACGAAATTTCGTAAATATCGAACTTTTTTAAAGGAAAATTTCAGAATTCTTTTAAATATCGAAAGGCAAAAAACCCCAAAAAACGAATCGATTTTAGAAACAAATTTTTCCGTTGTTACCCAGGCCTACTGGATACATAATATGCACTACTCAAACTATAAAGAGAGAGGGGTCTGACCAATGTATGATGATGATGATGATGATGATGATGTTCATTATGTTTAATTATACCCACCTTTTCTTTCTCCACAAGGAGACTCAAAACATATTAGAATATGTTGTTGCTGTTGTTGTTGTTATGTTTATTATACTCCACTTTTTCTCTCCAAAAGTGTTTACATCAAAAGCATTGCAATACAGTTTAAAAACTACTAATATACGAACATTAAAACAGGATTATGGATATTTTAAAATAATTCAGTTGAAATCCATAAAAATGAGGGGTACACGAAACGGCGGAAATCCGTTCTGTTTTTGTTTTGAAATGACAGAAACCCATTCTGTTTTCAGGCAGATTCTTCCCAAAACGGAAACGGAACTCCAGATCCCGAATTACGAAACCGAACGGCGCCCCTCCTAATCTCCCGGAATTGTCCAGAAATTCGAAACAAAAACAGAACAAAAACAGGATAGATTTCCACTATTTTGCAGGATAAAAACATATTCAAAACTAGATGTCAGTAGCGTGTTCCTCGCGGAGTATTTTGATCCCGGAGCATTTGTGTTTCCAGGATTGGTTAGGGTCAAAGCTCAAAGTCTGACAGAAATCCATTCTGTTTTCAGGCAGATTCCTTCCAAAATGGAAATGGGACTCCGGATCCCAAATTATGAATCTGAACGGCCCACTTCCCAATTTCCCTGAATCTTCCAGAAATGCAAAACAAAAACAGAATAAAAACAGGACAGATTTCCGCTGTTTTGCAGAATAAAAACATTCAAAACGAGTTGTTGGAAGTGTGTTCCTCGCGGAGTATTTTGGTCTCGGAGCATTTGGGTTTCCAGGATTGGTTAGGGTCAAAGCTCAAACTCTGACAGAAATCTGGATCCTGAATTACGAATCCGAACAGCCCACCTTCTAGTTTCCCGGAATACAAACATATTCAAAACTAGATGTCGGTGGTGCATTCCTCGTGGAGTATTTCGAGCCAGGAGCATTTGGGTTTCCAGAATTGGTTAGGGTCAAATCTCACACTCTGACGGAAATCAATTTTGTTTTTAGGCAGATTCTTCCCGAAATGGAAATAGACTTCCAGATCCTGAATTACGAATCTGAACAGCCCACCTCCTAGTTTCCCGGAAACGTCCAGAAATTCAAAATGAAAACAGAACAAAAACAAGACAGATTTCCACTGTTTTTCAGAATAAAAGCATGGCCAAAATGGAAACAGAACTCCAGATTTCGAATTACGAATCCAAACAGCCCACACCCTAATTTCCTGGAATCGTCCAGAAATTCAAAACAAAAACAGAACAAAAACAGATTTCTGCTTTTTCATGGAATACAAGCATATTGAAAACTAGATGTCAGTGGTGCGTTCCTCCTGGAATAGGGTCAAATCTCAAACTCTGACAGAAATCAATTTTGTTTTCAGGCAGATTCATCCCGAAATGGAAACAGAACTCCGGATCCCGAATTACAAATCCGAACAGCCCACCTTCTAGTTTCCCAGAATCGTCCAGAAATTCAATACGAAAACAACAAAAACAGGACAGATTTCCATTCTTTCGCAGAATAAAAACATGTCCAAAATGGAAATGGAACTCAGGATCCCTGATTACAAATCCGAATGGCCCACCTCGTAATTTCCCGGAATCATCCAGAAATTCAATACGAAAACAACAAAAACAGGACAATGTATTGTTGAACGCTTTCATGGCCAGAATCACTGGGTTGTTGTAGGTTTTTTTGGGCTATATATCCATGTTCTAGAGGCATTCTCTCCTGACATTTCACCTGCATCTATGGCAAGCATCCTCAGCGGTAGTGAAGTCTGATTTCCACCAGATTTCTGATGGATTTTCTGACAGATTTCCTCCGTTTTGCAGAACAAAAACATGTCCAAAATGGAAATGGGACTCCGGATCCCAAATTACGAATCCGAACGGCCCACCTCCAAATTTCCCGGAATCATCCAGAAATTTGAAACGAAAACAGAACAAAAACAGGACAGATTTCCGCTGTTTTGCAGAATACATTTGGATTTCCAGGATTGGTTAGGGTCAAATCTCAAACTCTGACAGAAATCAAATTTGTTTTCAGGCAGATTCTTCCCGAAATGGAAACGGAACTTCGGATCCCGGAATCCGAATGGCCCACTTCCAAATTTCCCAGAATCGTCCAGAAATTCAATACGAAACCAACCAAAACAGGACAGATTTCCGCTGTTTAGCAGAATAAAAACATGTCCAAAATGGAAATGGAACTCCGGATCCTGAATTACAAATCTGAATGGCCCACCTCCAAATTTCCCGGAAATGAGCAGAAATTCAATAAGAAAACAACAAAAACAAGACAAATTTCCACCGTTTTGCGGAATACAAAGAAATTCAAAACTAGATGTCGGTAGTAGGCTTGGGCGGTTTCGTTCATTATTTTCGTAATTCGTTATTAATTCGTATTTAAATTAGCTTACGATCCAATATTGAGCCATGCAGGAATAGTGTGAGGAGTAAATTAGATTCGAAACAATTTTTTCAATTTATTTCGTAATTATTTCGTAATTATTTCGTAATTATTTCGTAATTATTTTCGCATGTCTGGTGCAAGTTTTATAGTTGTTTGTTTTATCACACCAACAGTCAACAACAGAGGGAGAGGGAAGCTTCAGAAGTTCCCCCTGTCCCATTTGGAGGTTTTTTTTAGCATATTGCGCAATCGTCCGCCATTAACGAATCGATTCGTAATTATACGAAATTTCATAAATTTCAAAATTTTTAAAAGGAAAATTTCAGAATTCTTTAAAAAAACAAAACGCGATGGACCCCTAAAAACGAAACGAGTTTAGAAACAAATTTTTCCGTTGTTACCCAAGCCTAGTCGGTAGTGTGTTCCTTGAGGAGTATTTCGATCCCAGAGCATTTGGGTTTGCAGGATTGGTTCTCAATGAACCTGAGGGTCACCAATCAAACTATGAGATATGGTCGGGAAAAAACCAAACAAACTGCAATCCCCTTTTGTGCAAAATATGCATGAAATCCCTTCCCATGCTTGGAAATGAACTCGCCTGTCGAGTCATTGTCAAACAGCTTGCTAAGCAACTGCAAGATTTTGCAACGATAAGCTAAAGACGAGAGCGAATCCTCGTCGAGCAAAGCAGTGAAGAAACAAGCGAGGCAGCGGTGAAGGATGCAAGCGCTTAATAATCTGGAATGGAAAGGAGGGTGGGACATAATGAGCTGTCAAGAACTGACAGCCTTAGCAAAGAGTCAAAGGCTGAAAAATGCAAGGAGAGCCATTCACCTCCTGAAGTAACCAGTTTGTTTCCCAATGGGATAATTATGTGGGAGGCAGACGAAGTTTGACTATAACTTGGGAGACTTGAGCAGACGTCGCGCTCGGAAGGGAGACACCCGGGATGAGAGGCAGCCCTTCCTTCCTTCCGTCCGACAGCATGGAGTTCGGCTCGGCACTCTGGATGCTGGCCTCCTACCTCGGCCTTACCGCCCTGTTCTTCCTGCTGGCCTGGGGAATCTACTACGATATCACCCGGACGTACGTCCCCACGGACATCCAGCAATACGCCAAACTGCGCTTCTTCAATTTCCTCTCGAAATATGCGGTCGGACTGGTGAGCGCCCCCCAATTTCATGGATAGGTTAAAGGTGTTCCCCTGACATTAAGTCCAGTAACTCTATTCATGATCTTTTCTGGGATTCTACGAAGGTTTTGTAATAGAGTGGGGTGAAGCCGTCTGGCCCCGGGGCTTTATTCAGGGTTAGTTTTTAAATTGCTTTTTTTTATTTCCTCCATGGAAATCCTCCTATTGATTGTCTCTCGTCTCCATTTCTAAGCCGAAGAGCCGGCGTTGTCCATAGACACCTCCAAGGTCATGTGGCCAGCATGACTTCATGGAGTGTCGTTACTTTCCCACCGGAGCGGTACCTATTGATCTACTCACATGTGCATGTTTTCGAACTGCTAGGTTGGCAGAAGCGGGAGCTAACAGCGGGAGCTACCCTGCTCCCCAGATTCAAACCTGCAACCTTTCGGTCAGCAAGTTCAGCAACTCAGCGGTTAATAATAATAATAATAATGATAATGATAATGATAATGATAATGATAATGATAATAATAATAAATATAAATAACAATTATGCTGGGGAAAGTGGAAGGCAAAAGGAAGAGGGGCTGACCAAGGGCAAGATGGATGGATGGCATCCTTGAAGTGTCTGGACTGACCTTGAAGGAGCTGGGGGTGGTGACGGCCAACAGGGAGCTCTGGCGTGGGCTGGTCCATGAAGTCACAAAGAGTCGGAGACGACTGAACGAATGAACAACATAATAAATATAATAATAATAATATAATAAATATAATAAATTTAATAATAATATAAATATAATAAATATAATAATAATAATAATAATAATAATAATAATAATAATAATAATAACAATAATAATAATAATACCCACTGCACCACCGGGGGCTCCTAATTTCATGTATATGTACATGTATATGTATATGTATGTGTATGTGTATGTATATGCATATATTTATGTGTGTGTACGTGTGTGTCACAGTCATGGTCTAAAATTGTTGTGTTGCATGTGTTAAAAATTGATATCGGTTCTATAAGTCCTTCAAGATCTGAAGGACCCTGGTATCCACAAGGTCTCGTTACAGTACAGTTTGAACCCAGTATCCACAAGGTTTCATATATGTGTGTGTGCGCGCGTTTATTGTGTTCATGGTCTAAAATTGTTGTGTTAAAAATGAATCTCAGTTCTTCAAGTCCTTCACGGTCTGAAAGGTCAAAGTGGCTCCGGTATCCACAAGGTCCCATTACAGTACAGTTTGACCCCAGTATCCACAAGGTTTTGTGTGTGTGTTTATGTATATTTGTCAAAAATCGTTGTGTGTTTGTTTATGTATATTAGTTGAAAATCGTTGTGTTGCATGTGTTAAAAAGGAGTATAAGTTTTACAAGTCCTTTATGGTCTGATAGGTCAAAGTGGCTCTGGTATCCACAAGGTCCCATTACAGTACAGTTTGACCCCAGTATCCACAAGGTTTTGTGTGTGTGTTTATGTATATTTGTGTTCACAGTCGAAAATCGTTGTGTTGCATGTGTTAAAAATAAATCTCAGTTCTTCAAGCCCTTCACGGTCTGAAAGGTCAAAGTGGCCCTGGGATCCACAAGGTCCCATTCCTTTCAGTATGACCTCAGTATCCACAAAATTCTATTACAGTACAGTATTTTCCTGGTATCCACAGGATTCCATTACAGTACAGTGTCAGCTCACGGCAGCTGGTTCAATGATGACACGAGACTTCCATCGTAATCAAACAAAGACCTTTACTATCGGACGCTTAGAATTCTGCACGCAGCTCCTCTCTCCTCTGCTGTAGGTGCTGGAGCTGCATTCCTTGGGCACTCGCGTGCGCCATTCCCCCTGGGGGTGCGGGTTGTCCGAATGACGCTCTGGCTTGCCCCGTGCCACGCCCTGCCCCGGCCGGGGCCGTTAATGTAAGGGGCTGTGGGGTTGTTGCCGCTCCTTGGGGTATTCCTTCTCCTCCGTCGCTTGGGGCCGCTTGGATCCTGCGCCTCGCTCCTAGGATTTGGCTGCTCCCCGCACTCGCGTCCCACGGGGATTCTGCGCGAGGCTGGTGTTCCTCCAGCAGGGGGGGCAGGCAGTCCATTAGCCTCGACATCATGGCTAATGTGGTTTCCGTGGCTGCCACCCTCTCCTCCAAGCAGCCGTACCTCTGGGGCATGGTGAAATCCATGTCTCTGCTGCCTCCTCCTGCGACCTCCCTCGGTCGCCTTTGTGTGACCCCGTTGGGGTTAGCGTACGCTGTCGAGGAGGCAAGCGCCGCCACTCTTTCGAGCTCCGCCTCGGCCTCGCCGAGGAGCGAGGTTGGCTTTCTTCCCATCTCCCCGAGGACGGTGTCTTCTTCCTCCTCCAGAGAGGATTTACTCCCCTCTTCCATTATGGCACCTCACCGCTGGTGCGGGGAGAATCCAGGATTAATGTCAGCTCACGGCAGCTGGTTCAATGATGACACGAGACTTCCATCGTAATCAAACAAAGACCTTTACTATCGGATGCATAGACACAGAAAAAGCCGGGATTGCCTGGTCGCAGCAGGCAACCCCTTATATACACTCCCACTTGTTCGAAAGGTAGATTCTAGGGCTGGGCGGTTTCATTCGTTAATTTCGTAATTCGTTATTAATTCGTTATTTTTTTTGATAACGAAGCAATATTGAACCATTCAGGAGCAACTAAAAAACGAAACGAATTTTTAAAATTTATTTCGTAATTGTTTCGTAATTGTTTCGTAATTGTTTCGTTATTATTTCGTTATTATTTCCGTATGTCTGGTGCAAGTTTTATGGTTGTTGTTTGTTTTATCAGTGATAAAAAATAAATTATCACACCAACAGTCAACAACAGAGGGAGAGGGAAGCTTCAGAAGTTCCCCCTGTCCCATTTGGAGGTTTTTTTTAGCGTATTGCGCAATCGCGCCCGTCATTAACGAATCGATTCGTTATTGTTTCGAAACAATTTCGTAAATATCGAACTTTTTTAAAGAAAAATTTCGGAATTCTTTTAAAAAACGAAATGCAAAAACCCCCTAAAAACGAATCGAGTTTAGAAACAAATTTTTCCGTGGTTGCCCAGCCCTAGTAGATTCCCGCCAGACCCAAAACCCCGCGCAAAAGCTTCCCGCCACCAAGCAACTGCCTTCCTTCAAGGCCACCAGCTGCAGGGTCCTTATCAGGGTGAAGCGTCAGGAGTCTAGTTTTCGGCGCCAAAGTCTAGGCTCCGGAAACTGGATCCTGACAGTACAGTATGACTCCAGCATCCACAATGACTTTTTGCCTTCTGGGCAAACATATTTCCGACGAGCATTCACAAGATATACATCTTAAGAACATTAACAAAAACATCTAATCGAGGATATGGAACCATCGCTCACTCAGGAGGCAGATTATGGATGATTTTAGTGGATAATGTTTTAACTTGTTGTTGTTGTTCATTCGTTCAGTCGTCTCCGACTCTTCGTGACCTCATGGACCAGTCCACGCCAGAGCTCCCTGTCGGCCGTCACCACCCCCAGCTCCTTCAAGGTCAGTCCAGTCACTTCAAGGATGCCATCCATCCATCTTGCCCTTGGTCGGCCCCTCTTCCTTTTGCCTTCCACTTTCCCCAGCATCATTGTCTTCTCTAGGCTTTGCTGTCTCCTCATGATGTGGCCAAAGGACTTCAACTTTGTCTCTAGTATCTTTCCCTCCAGTGAGCAGCCGGGCTTTCTTTCCTGGAGGATGGACTGGTTGGATCTTCTCGCAGTCCAAGGCACTCTCAGAACTTTCCTCCAACACCACAGCTCAAAAGCCTCTCTCTTCCTTCGCTCAGCCTTCCCTAAGGTCCAGCTCTCACATCCGTAGGTGACTACAGGGAATACCATGGCTTTGACTAGGCGGATCTTTGTTGCCAGTGTGATGTCTCTACTCTTTACTATTTTATCGAGACTGGACATTGCTCTCCTCCCAAGAAGTAAGCGTCTTCTGATTTCCTGGCCACAGTCTGCATCTGCAGTAATCTTTGCGCCTAGAAATACAAAGTCTGTCACGGCCTCCACATTTTCTCCCTCTATTTCCCAGTTGTCAATCATTCTTGTTGCCATAATCACTAGAGGTTACTATTGTAAAATAAACCATGTGTAATTCACGTTTGATCAGTCCACACACTGCCTTGCCAGAGAAAGAAAATATGCCACGCAGGTGAACAGTTATTTATTTATTTATTTATTTATTTATTTAATCCGCAAACAGGACTTTGTATTACATTTCCAACAGAACAAAACAAACAAACAGATTTAAAAGAACAAAAAACAAAAACACAAATTTTGCAAACTTGGTAGCAGATTAAATGTCCTTTGACCAGTATCTGGCCACTTGGAGTGCCTCTGGTGTTGCCGCAAGAAGGTCCTCCATCATGCATGTGGCAGGGCTCAGGGTGCATTGCAGCAGGTGGTCTGTAGTTTGCTCTTCTCCGCACTCACATGTCGTGGATTCCACTTTGTGGCCCCATTTCTGAAGGTTGGCTCTGCATCTCGTGGTGCCAGAGCGCAGTCTGTTCAGCGCCTTCCAAGTCACCCAGTCTCTGTGTGCCCAGGGGGGAGTCTCTCATCTGGTATCACCCACGGATTGAGGTGCTGGGTTTGAGCCTGCCACTTTTGGACTCTCGCTTGCTGAGGTGTTCCAGCGAGTGTCTCTGTAGATCTAAGAAAACTATTTCTTGATTTAAGTCGTTGACGTGCTGGCTGATACCCAAACAAGGGATGAGCTGGAGATGTCTCTGCCTTGGTCCTTTCACTATTGGCTGCAACTTCCCGGTGGATGTCAGGTGGTGCAATACTGGCTAAGCAGTGTAATTTCTCCAGTGGTGTAGGGCGCAGACACCCTGTGATAATGCAGCATGTCTCATTAAGAGCCACATCCACTGTTTTAGCGTGGTGAGATGTGTTCCACACTGGGCATGCATACTCAGCAGCAGAGTAGCATAGCGCAAGGGCAGATGTCTTCACTGTGTCTGGTTGTGATCCCCAGGTTGTGCCAGTCAGCTTTCGTATGATATTGTTTCTAGCACCCACTTTTTGTTTGATGTTCAGGCAGTGCTTCTTGTAGGTCAGAGAATGGTCCAGAGTGACTCCCAGTATTTGGGTGCGCTGCAATGCTCCAGTGGGATTCCTTCCCAGGTAATCCTCAGAGCTCGGGATGCTTGTCTGTTCTTAAGGTGAAAGGCACATGTCTGTGTTTTAGATGGATTAGGGATCAGTTGGTTTTCCCTGTAATAGGCAGTAAGAGCACCTAGAGCTTCGGAGAGCTTCTGTTCAACCACCTCAAAGCTCCCTGCTTGAGCACAAAGCAGTAATGGCACGATCGTCAGCATAGATGAAACTCTCTGTCCCTTCTGGCAGTGGCTGGTCATTTGTGTAGATGTGGAACATGGATGGAGCGAGCACGCTCCCCTGAGGCAGGCCGTTCTTCTGTTTCCGCCATCTGCTTCTCTGGCCCTGGAACTCAACAAAGAAGCTCCTGTTTTGTAGCAGGTTTCCTATGAGGCGGGTGAGGTGGTCGTCCTTTGTGATATTATACATTTTTCTCAGGAGGAGGCGGTGGTTCACAGTATCATAGGCTGCTGACAGGTCTATGAAGACAGCTCCTGTGATCTGCTGCCTTTCAAAGCCATCTTCTATGTGCTGAGTCAGGTTCAGCACTTGCGATGTGCAGCTTTTGCCTTTCCTGAAGCCAGCTTGCTGTGGAATCAGACAGGGGTCTATTTTTTCCATAATTCTATGCAGAATAAGTCTCTCCAGAACTTTGTAGAGGTGGCACAACAGGGAGATTGGTCTGTAGAGATTTGGATCATTACGGTGAACAGTAAAGAACAAGTAGTGACCCCGGTATCTACAAGGTCCCATTACAGTACAAGATGACCCGGGTATTCACAAGGTCAACATACGTACAATATGATCAATTGTATCAACTCACATAATGTCCTTTTATGATAGGTTTAAAATGGTCTTTCTCTGTCCATCTGGATAAACTCCTTTAGCAGTTCATAAAGCAAGAGCACACTCAAACACTGTCTCTCTCTCTCTCTGCTTCTCTCTTTGAACTCTCTCTCTCTGCTCCTGCATAGCTCAAGTCCTGAACAAAAATGTAACAGTATCCAAAAGTCCCAGGCTCAGCCATCTCCCCGGACATTGCCCAACCAATCAGCTTCATACATCTTATTTTACAGTTGATGCACACACGCATTAACTGATTCCTTGCATCTTCCAACTAGATTGTCTAAATGTCATGTATGAAGCCATGTAAGCCGCTCTGAGTCCCCCTGCGGGGTGAGAAGAGCGGGGTAGAAATGCTGCAAATAAATAAATAAATAAACGTTATCGAGTTGACACTCTAGATCTATGACGGTAATAATAGATTTTGTTCATTCAATGTGAAGTGCATGTAACCATGGATTATTTCCCATTGCTTTTGTAAACAGGGAATGGCGTATGAGAGACTCGGCATTTGCCAGAGGTATACAGTCTGGAGGATTATGTTTAATGGTATACCGCTATTAAAGAAGAGCTCGGCGTTGATAATCAAGGATCTGCTTTTCGACGACGTTCCTGTGCGAGTGTATTGGCCTAAAACATCGTCTTCCGGGAACAGAAGAGGAATGATCTATCTCCATGGAGGCGTTGGTTTGTTCGGAAGCATCAGTATGTCCTGTGGTTATCTATTAGGCATTTTTTAGAAGTGTACGGCTTTGTCCTTTAACACGAATATTTGTCCGTGAGCCATCTAAAAAAAAATTGTGTTGTTCACCTTCGATTGGATTCTCCCTACAACTTGGGACCCTTCTTTGGCCATTTTTAGTTTCATAGACATTAGTTTGGAGATAGTGACGTATTGAACAAACACAACTAACAAATAAAATTGTCCTCAAAACATTGGGAAATGTTCTATATTGCACGAGTGAAACTTTTCCCATATTTTTAGGATGGAACCAATTAGGAAATGACATTTATAACCCAGGAACAAAAATTGTGTTACAGAGTGTAATTTCTAGGGCTGGGTGGTTTCGTTCGTTAATTTCGTAATTCATTATTGATTCGTATTTAAATTAGCTTACGATCCGATATTGAGCCATGCAGGAGCAACTAAAAATCGAAACGAATTTTTCAATTTATTTCGTAATTGGTTCGAAATCGTTTCGAAATTGTTTCGTTATTATTTCCGTATGTCTGGTGCAAGTTTTATAGTTGTTGTTTTATCAGTGATAAAAAAAATAAATTATCACACCAACAGTCAACAACAGAGGGAGAGGGAAGCTTCAGAAGTTCCCCCTGTCCCATTTGGAGGGTTTTTTAGCGTATTGCGCAATCGCGTCCGCCATTAACGAATCAATTCGAAATTTACGAAATTTCGTAAATAACGATTTTTTTAAAAGAAAAATTCAGAATTCCTTTAAAAAACGAAACGCAATGGGCCCCCTAAAAACGAAACGAGTTTAGAAACAATTTTTTCCGTTGTTACCCAGGCCTAGTAATTTCAGTAATGACAACGTACTATTGTCAAAAACTAGTAAAGGCTTGGAATAGTTGTTGTTGTGTTTTTTTGTTGTGTCAGGAGTGACTTGAGAAACTGCAAGTCACTTCTGGTGTGAGAGAATTGGCCGTCTGCAAGGACGTTGCCCAGGGGATGCCCGAATGATTTGATATTTTTATCATCCCTGTGGGAGGCTTCTCTCATGTCCCTGCATGAGGAGCTGGAGTTGATAGAGGGAGCTCATCCACCTCTCCCCGGATTCGAACCTGCGACCTGTCGGTCTTCAGTCCTGCCGGCACAGCGGTTTAACCCACTGCGCCACCAGGGGCTCCTTGGAATAGTTATCCCCAGGGACCCAATTTCAATAGGGGGCATGCTGTCTTTCTTAAATAGTCACCCAATGCATCAGAAAACTCTCCTGTTTTTCAGAAGCTTACGAAAGGGTGAACCGCTACATTTCCCGGAGAAGTGATTCCGTGGTTGTATGTGTTGGGTAAGTGACATCATGTTTCATTGGGGGTCTGGTTGTTGCACTCCAGGTTGAGAAGAAGCCCTCTGACTTTAAACACACCACCAGAAGAGTGAAGAAACAAATCTTCTTTTATTGAAGCTTAGTAAATAGCCAAAAGAAATAAATGCTTGTAAGGAAATCAAAAGGTTCCAAAAAGTAATTAGTAGGGCTGGGCGGTTTCTTTTCGTAATTTCGTAATTCGTTAAAAATTCGTTATTTTTTTTATAACAAAGCGATAACGAACCATTCGGGAGCAACTAAAAAACGAAACGAATTTTTAATTTCGTTTCGTAATTGTTTCGAATTCGTTTTGTATTCGTTTCGTTATCGTTTTGAAATCGTTTCGTTATTATTTCCTCATGTCTGGGGCAAGTTTTATAGTTGTTGTTTGTTTAATCAGTGAAAAAAAATTATAAATATCACACCAACAGTCAACAACAGAGGGAGAGGGAAGCTTCAGAAGTTCCCCCTGTCCCATTTGGAGGTTTTTTAGCGTATTGCGCGGTCGCGTCCGCCATTAACGAATCAATTCGTAATTGTTTCGTAATTGTTTCGTATTGTTTTGCAATTTACGAAATTTCGTAAATATCGAACTTTTTAAAAGAAAAATTTCGGAATTCTTTTAAAAATCGAAACGCAAAACCCCCCAAAAAACGAATCGATTTTAGAAACAAATTTTTCCGTGGTTGCCCAGCCCTAGTAATTAGTCCATAAAAAGTAGTAATTTATTTATTTATTTATTTATTTATTTTGGGTACTTCTACCCCGCCCTTCTCAACCCCCTAAGGGGGACTCAGGGCTGCTTCCAACCGGCATATGTTGATGCCTACAATTCACACAATAAAATACATAGTAACAATAGTTATAACAATTAAAACATTACATTAATACAATAAAAATACAATAAAAAGCCAGCCTGGTGGCCATCGTTTTGCCAAGTCCGTAATTAATAAATTCATTCCGCTTATCATAGTCCGTTTCCAAAGCTTTAGTCGTCATTGCCCATTGTCAGTCTGCCAGATTACCCAAAGGCTTGGTCCCATATCCATGTTTTTAATTTTCTTCTGAAAGAGAGGAGGGATGACGATGATCTCATTTCCCCAGGGAGTGAATTCCACAGGTGGGGGGCCACCACTGAGAAGGCCCTGTCCCTCGTCCCCGCCAATCTTGTTTGTGACAAGGGCAGGGCCGAGAGCAGGGCCCCTCCAGAAGATCTTAAATTCCTAGGCGGGACATAGAAGGAGATACGTTCGGACAGTTACGCTGGGCCAGTGCTGTATAGGGTTATATGTACAGTAACACAAAGCAATGTCCACACAAGAAATAAAAGCTATCCAAAGCAGCATTAATCCAGACAGGAATCAAGCAGGATGCAAAGACAATCCAAAAGGCTAAAAAACTCCACAGAAACAAGACCCCTTGAACAAGACTTCCATGGCACAAGAACTTGGTTTCCAAACGATGCCTGATCTAACAGGTCTTCCCCTGAAGCAAACCTTATATCCCAAAACTCAGAAATTGGTTTCATTTCCCCCACATTTTCCCTTTATCAGATGCAGCCTTTCGGAGCGACGTAAATACTGAGTTTGTTGTCGATCCTGGCTAATCTCCAGCTGCCTATTCTTCAGCTCCCTTTCTGGCTGCTCATTAAAATTCCCAGAGGTCAGATTGTTTTCCAACCCAAATCATAAACTTTCCAACCCAAAACTAACAAAATGAAGTTCAACAGTGACAAATGCAAGATACTCCACTTTGTCAGAAAAAATGAAATGCAAAGATACAGAATGGGTGACGCCTGGATCGAGAGCAGTACGTGTGAAAAAGATCTTGGAGTCCTCGTGGACAACAAGTTAAACATGAGCCAACAATGTGATGTGGCGGCAAAAAAAGCCAATGGGATTTTGGCCTGCATCAATAGGAGCATAGTGTCTAGATTTAGGGAAGTAATGCTACCCCTCTATTCTGCTTTGGTTAGACCACATCTGGAATATTGTGTCCAATTCTGGGCACCACAATTCAAGAGAGATATTGACAAGCTGGAATGTGTCCAGAGGAGGGCGACTAAAATGATCAAGGGTCTGGAGAACAAGCCCTATGAGGAGCGGCTTAGGGAACTGGGCATGTTTAGCCTGAAGAAGAGAAGGCTAAGAGGAGATATGATAGCCATGTATAAATATGTGAGAGGAAGCCACAGGGAGGAGGGAGCAAGCTTGTTTTCTGCTTCCTTGGAGACTAGGACGCGGAACAATGGTTTCAAACTACAAGAGAGGAGATTCCATCTGAACATTAGGAAGAACTTCCTGACTGTGAGAGCCGTTCAGCAGTGGAACTCTCTGCCCCGGAGGGTGGTGGAGGCTCCTTCTTTGGAAGCTTTTAAGCAGAGGCTGGATGGCCATCTGTCAGGGGTGATTTGAATGCAATATTCCTGCTTCTTGGCAGGGGGTTGGACTGGATGGCCCATGAGGTCTCTTCCAACTCTTTGATTCTATGATTCTATGATAAGAGCTCACAGAGAGAGGGAGTGAATTATCATTGCTAGGCCCAGCAGAGATATTCTCATGAGAAACTGCCCTTTGCACTGGGGCCTCTCTGTCATTGTCTGTATGAAAATCATTGACCAAACCATCTCCATTTTGTACCTCAGCCTCGGCAACATTATTTCCCTCATCATTTCCCACATCAGGATCCTGAAACACAAACACAAGCTGAATCCCAACACTGGGTTACAAAGCAGTGAAGTGTCACGAAAGCTTCGTCCCACACTATTTGATCGTTTGCTTTTTCTCCACAGTTGCTGCAATGTTTCCAAAGGACTAGTAACACTTCCCTTGATCAACATTCCCAATAAAATCATTCTAAAACACGGAGACCTATCAAGCTCACTGTATTGGTGACAAGAAAAATCCAACTTAAGACTTTAAATAGTACTTTCTGGAAAGTTACAAGATCCTTTTGCCTGTGAAGCTGTCTGTTTGCGGTGTGTTATGAAAGATTGCACATACACACTAGAGGTGTGCAAATGAATTGGATGTCATCATAACTTGGATCTATTTTGTATGTTTTTTATTTATGACATGTATTCCGACATGCATCACACCAGCTGTACCAGCTGTGGCCAACATTCCCTACCTCTTTCTCTTCTTTCTCTTCTTCCTTCTCTCCCTCTTTCCTTCCTTCCCCTTTTTCTTTCCCTCCTCTTTTCCTTCCTCCTTTCCTTTCTTTCCTTCTTTCTTTCTTTCTTCTTTCTTTCTTTCTTCTCTTTTTCCTCTTTCCCTTCCTTCTCCCCTTTTCTTTCCTTCCTCTTTCCTTCCTTTTTTCTTTCTTTCTCTTTCTCCTTCCTTCCTTCCTTCCTTCCTTCTCTTCTTCTTCCCTTCTTCCGCCCAACTTTTCTTTCCCTTCCTCTTTCTCCCCTTTCTTCCTTCTCTACCTATTCTTGGAGTGTATGTTTTGCATTTATGACATGTATTCCAACATGTCTCACACACATATATATTAGGCTTGGGCGATCCAGTTCGTTAATTTCATTATTCGTTATTGATTCGTATTTAAATTAGCTTACGATCCAATATCGAGCCATGCAGGAATAGTGTGAGGAGTAATTAAGAATCGAAACAATTTTTTCCAATTTTCGTAATGATTTCGTAATGATTTTCATATGTCTGGTGCATTGTATATTATATTATATTATATTATATTATTATATTATATATTATATTACTATATTATTATAATATTATATTATAATTGTATATTATAATATAATATAATATATATAATATAATATAATATAATATATATAATATAATATAATATAATATAATATAATATAGTTGTTTGTTTTATCACACCAACAGTCAACAACAGAGGGAGAGGGAAGCTTCAGAAGTTCCCCCTGTCCCATTTGGAGGTTTTTTTTAGCATATTGCGCAATCGCGTCCGCCATTAACGAATCAATTCGTAATTTACGAAATTTCGAAATTTTGAAATCTTAAATTTCGGAAGTCCTCAGAATTTCGAAACGCTAGCGCACCCTAGAAATGAAACGAGTTTAGAACCAATTCTTTTCTTGATCGCCCAAACCTAATATATATACATAATACAAGCACTAACTGTACCCACCACACATTGCTGTGGCCAACCTTCCCGCCCTCTTTCTCTTCTTTCTTCCCTTCCTTCCTTCCTTCCTTCCTTCCTTCCTTCCTTCCTTCCTTCCCTTTTTTCTTTCTTTCTTTCATTCCTTCCTTCTCTTCTTCTTCCTTTCCTTCTCTCCCAACTTTTCTTTCCCTTCCACTTTCTCCCCTTTCTTCCTTCTCCACCTATTCTTGGACTGCAACTCCCAGCACTCCTCCTCATCAATCTACCTACCTACCTATCTCTATCTAATCTATTTATCTGGAAGATTGCTGGGAGTTGCAGTCCAGGAATAGGAAATTGGAAATATGCAGGGACTGGGATGCTCTCAAAGAGATCCAAGGAGAAGAAACCTTGCATCTTGGAAGCCATGCATTTGGATCCTCCTCCTCTACTAAAGGGCCTGGTCTAGGGGATACTGGGAGCTGTAGTCTGCAAGAGAGTGTGGATGTGCTATTATGTGCTTTGTTTGCCAGGTGGCGTCGTTTTTGCGCATGCACTGTAGCATCTTTTTTGCTTCCACTATGTATTTCCTTGTTTTTATGAGTGATGGTCACTCGTTGGCCTGATAGGTGTATTGTGTCCAAATTTGGTGTCAATTCGTTCAGTGGTTTTTGTTACATTAATCACACAAACTAACATTACATTTTATTTATTTATTTATTTATTTATTTATTTATTTAGATAGATAGATAGATAGATAGATAGATAGATAGATAGAAGACATATGACAGCCTTTTTGGTTTTGCCTCGCTTGAGCTGAAAGTGACTTTGATAAGCTTCTGAGCATTACAGAATTCAAATGAAAAAGTATTGGATGAGTTTGATTGTTAAGTTTTTGTGTGCCACCCCTTCTTAATATCTGTTTACAAAACTTCCAAATTAGATACAATTTACTAATGAAAAATGAAGTCTTGCATACTCCTATTATACACACGTATAGATAGATCGATATTCATTGAAAATGTGCTGCAGGGTATCCCACCCACAGAAACAAAGATTTTGCAGTTTAATAAACTTTTCCCATGTTTTTATGATGGAATCAATTAGGAAATGACATTGATCACCCAGGAACAAAAAGCGTTACATAATGTCATTTCCTGGTAGAGATAGAGAAGGTGCTTGATGACTTTAAATGGGTACTGAATTCATTTCTGGTTTATTTATTTCTGGTACTTTTACCCCGCCCTTCTCAACCCCCGAAGGGGGACTCAGGGCGGCTTACAAAAAAGGCAGAATTCGATGCCTATACAAATTACACATAATATACAAAAACGTAATTAAAACAGTTATCACAATTAAAACAGTCAACAACCAGTACATAGCACATCATATAAAACATCATATAAAAGTCATTCTTATAGTCAGCGTTTCGTTTTCCAGAGTTCCATAGATCCAATCCGTTAATCATTTCCTAGTCATCATCGAAGTTCTTTCTTTATCTGCCCGCTTGTCCAAATGCCTGGTCCCAGATCCATGTTTTTAGTTTTTTCTAAAGGAAAGGAGTGATGTTGCAGATCTAATTTCCCCGGGGAGTGAATTCCACAGGTGGGGGCCACCACCGAGAAGGCCCTGCTCCTCGTCCCCGCCAATCTCACTTGTGATAGAGGCGGGGTCGAGAGCAGGGCCTCCCCAGAAGATCTTAGGCTCCGGGGTGGGACGTAGAGGGAGATCCGTTCAGACAGATACACTGGGCCGGAACCGTATAGGGTTTTGTAGGTCAAAACCAGCACCTTGAATTGTGCTCGGAACTGGATCGGCAGCCAGTGGAGCTGACACAACAGGGGGGTGGTATGCTCCCTGTATGACACCCCGGTGAGTAGTCTGGCTGCCTCCCGCTGGACTAGATGGAGTTTCCGAGCAGTCTTCAAAGGCAACCCCACGTAGAGTGCGTTGCAGTAGTCTATTCGGGATGTAACAAGAGCGTGGACCACCGTGGCCAGATCCGACTTCCCAAGGTACGGGCGCAGCTGGCGCACAAGTTTTAGTTGTGCAAAAGCTCTCCCGGCCACCGCCGTGGGGTTCCAGGCTCAGCGATGAGTCCAGGATCACTCCCGAGCTGCGAACCTGCGTCTTCAGGGGGAGTGTAACCCCGTCTAACACAGGCTGTAACCCTATGCCCTGTTCGGCCTTACGACTGACCAGTAGGACCTCTTTCTTGTCTGGATTCAGTTTCAATTTGTGTTCAACATTAACAAATAGCCACCCATCATAAACCGTGTGTAATATGAGGCCCTCAGTGAATTAAAAATTGTATTTCTCAGAATGCATCATGTAGATTTACAGGTTCAAACCATTTCTCGTTTCTATTTCAGGTTTCGTCTAGCTCCAGAGAATCCATTCCCACTCCCGGTTCTGGACTGCTGCACGGCTACCATACACTTTTTGAAAAATGCAACAAAATACGGAGTGGACCCGAATCGCATTGCTGTTTGCGGAGACAGCAGCGGGGGCACGTTTGCCGCAGCCGTTTGCCAACATCTGGCGACAAAGAAGGACCTTCCGAAGCTCCGTGCTCAGCTCCTCATCTACCCGTTCCTCCAGGCGGTGGACTTCAATCTGCCTTCTTATCAGCAGAACCACTCCATACCTGTTTTGTTTAAGAAGCGGGCGATCAAATGGGGAGCAACGTACCTGACGGGAAGGATAGTAAACGTGGACGGTCTGATGAAGAACGCCCATGTGCCCCAGGACTTGCAGGCGAAATACAAGAAATGGGTGAGCGCCGACCATATCCCAGATGAATTCAAGGCCAGGGGTTACGTGCCATTGGAGGCCGCACCATTCTGTGAAGAACTTTACGAGTTGTGCAAAGAGGGCTTTCATCCAATGTTTTCCCCACTTTTAGCAGAGGAAGATGTGATCCGCCAGCTTCCCGAGACTTTCTTATTAACCTGCGAATACGACGTTGTCCGAGACGACGGGCTTTTGTACAAGAAACGGCTGGAGGACAACGGTGTCCCAGTGACGTGGCATCATGTCAAGGACGGCTTTCACGGAATACTGTTCCTCATTGACGTTGGTCCATTGGAATTCAAATGCACCCGCCAGCATTTTCGTTATGTAATAAATTTCTTAAAATGCCTATAAAATGGGTCAGCGCAGAAGGAAGTGAGTTGTTCTACTCCAGAAACTTAGTTTTTGTGGCTGCTGCAAACTATGTGGCATTGGCTGAGAATTGATGGTGAGATATTCACCATGCTGTTTAATATCTACATGAAGCCGCTGGGAGAGATCATCCAGAGTTTCGGAGTATGGTGTCGCCTGTACGCAGATGACGTCCAACTCTGTCACTCCTTTCCACCTGCTACTAAGGAGGCTGTTCAGACCTTGAACCGGTGCTTGGCTGCTGTGTCGAACTGGATGAGAGCTAACAAATTGAAATTGAATCCAGACAAGACAGAGGTCCTATTGGTCAGTTGAAAGGCCAAACAAGGCAGCCTGTGTTGGATGGGGTTACACTCTCCCCAAAAACCCAGTTTTGCAGCTTAAGGATAATCCGGGATTCATCGTGAGCCTGGAAGCCCAGGTCTCGGCGGTGGCCAGAGGAGCCTTTGCACAATTAAAACTTGTGCGCCAGCTGCACCCATACCTTGGGAAGTCTGATCTGGACACAGTGGTCCATGCTCTTGTTACATCCCGAATATATTATTGCAATGCACTCTATGTGGGGTTGCCTTTGAAGACTCTTTGGAAGACCAACGGTCGGCAGCCAGATTACTCACCAGAGCGACTTACAGGGAGCACATCATGCCCCTGCTTCGACAGCTCCACTGGCTGCCAGTCCACTTCTGAGCATAATTCAAGGTGCTGGTCTTGATCTATAAAGCCCTATATGGTTCCAGCCCAGTTTACTTGTCCGAATGTATCTCCCTCTCTGACCCACCTCGGAGTTTACAATCATCAGGGGAGGCCCTGTTCTTGATCCCCCACTTTCGCAAGCGCGATTGGTGGAGACGAGAGACAGGGCCTTCTCGGTGGTGCCCCCCCATCTGTGGAATGCACTCCCCAGTGAAATCAGGGTGACAACTTCTCTCCTCTCCTTAAGGAAGAAACTCAAGTCTTGGCTTTGGGACCAAGCATTCGCACAGCTGGCTGAGCAACAACTGTCATGACTTGTGTGAATTGTCAATTAAGAGACCTTGAACTTGAACTCTGGACTATGATTTGGATATGCAGACTTGGACTTGGTTGTGTTAATATTTCAGGGCCAATATTTTGAATGTATTTTATTACTTTTTAATGTATTTTATTGCTGTTGACCTGTTTATGTTAATTGTTGTGTACTAACTGTTTCTTTGTCGGTGTCTAATGACTGCCAATTGTAAGCTGTCCTGAGTCCCCCTTCGGGGGTTGAGAAGGACAGGATACAAATGCTCTAAATAAATAAATAGATAAATATTCGTTCAAAATATTCATTCAAAAACAAAGTTTTTGCAGTGTAATAAACATTTTCCATGCTTTGAAAGGTAAAGGTAAAGGTTTCCCCTTGACATTAAGTCTAGTTGTGTCCAATTCGTGGTGGTAGCGCTCATCTCCATTTCTAAGCCGAAGAACCGGTGTTGTTTGTAGACATTAGGCTTGGTTGATCAAGAAAAAAAATGGTTCTAAACTCATTTTGTATATAGGGGGCGCTGGCGTTTCCATTTTAAAATTATTTCTCAAATTTTCTTGAAAAAAGATTGGAAATAGACCAAGGTCGAATTGGAGACCACCTCTGCTAGCTCAGTCAGGGAGACTGCTGGGTCACGAGGTGGGCGGTACACCAGCATGAGAAACTGCCCTTTGCACTGGGGCCTCTTTGTCATTGTCTGTCATTGGCGTTTCGATTTTAAAATTATTTCTCAAATTTTCTTGAAAAAAGATCGGAAATAGCAAAAATCTGAATAGCTTTGTTTACTTCATTAATGGAAAGTGCCCCTCCCCCCGTTAGTTTATAATCTCGCAGTTTCCCTGGCCTCCCTGGCGACAAGCGGCAATGCGGTTTCCCCCAGTGGCTGTCAAGAAGAGCTGGCCGTAGCCACGCCCACCTCATTCCCCTGCCATTCCCCTGTAGAGGTGGCACAACAGGGAGATTGATCTGTAGCTTTTTAGATCATTGCGGTCTTTGCCTGACTTCAAGATGGCGATGACTCTTGCTTTCCTCCAGATTTTGGGGATCTGACAGGATGCAGTGCAGTTGTTCATCAGCTCCAGCAGCCAGCGCCTTGCTTTTGGGCCAAAGTTCTTGATTTGTTCCATCTGTAGATCATGCAGGTCAGCTGCTTTGCCATTTTTACATTTATTGAGAGCCATGTAGGTGTAAAGGGTTCATGAAGGTTGTTGTTCTCAATCTCTGGTTGTCTGGCTATTGGTTTCTTTCCTACTTTGGTGGTAAGGTTGGGTTTCCCATTCTTCAAGAGTTGGTGTGCTATCTGATCTGCCTTTATGTTGGCATGGGTGTCATGAATGACTTTTCAATGACTTTGAAGCATAGGTTCTTTTTATTGCAATTTCTTGTGTGAGAAGGTATATCAGATTACAGAAAACATTTAGACAAAGAATGACATTGGACATACAAACATACCGATTCTATGCAACTACATTGGATTTACAATTACATTGGTTAACAAACAAACAAACAAAGGGGAATTACATTTTCACTCAACATTCACACCACATGTACACACATTCATCCACATGCATCCAACTATTACCATATCCTTTCTCCCTCCTTGGAGAAGCACCTGTTAGGCCAGACCCTGCTTTCCTACAGCCTGCCAATGCATAGTTCCATATTATTATTATTATTATTATTATTATTATTATTATTATTATTATTATCTTTATTTGTACCCCGCTAGCACCTCCCGAAGGACTCGATGCGGCTTACAAAGGCCAAGGCCTCAATACACAACATAACAATACAAAACCTAAAGCAAATTAAAAACAATTACAGCAAAATTAAACAACAAGCAATAAACAATACATCAAAACACAATAAAACTGGGCCGGGCCAGAGTAATGGGTACAAGATTAAAAGTGCTGATGTGACAGGTGATATGTAAAGGATTATAAGGTAAGTGCAGTGTGCAGTAATCTCAATTCTAATAAAGTGCTTCTGGACTTGTTATTGGAGTTTTCCTATTCTGGGAAGGCACATCGGAACAGCCAGGTCTTCAAGTTCTTTCTGAAGACTGCCAATGTAGGGGCCTGTCTAAGATCTTTTGGGAGGGTGTTGGGGGGGCCACCACAGAAAAGGCCCTGTCTCGCGTGCACACCAATCGCGCCTGCGATGCAGGCGGAATCATGAGCAGGGCCTCTCCGGATGAACAAAGTGAAGGCGCGGGTTCATAAACGGAGATGCGGTCACGCAGGTAGGGTGGTCCCAAACCGTTCAGGGCTTTGTAGGTCAGCACCTGCACCTTAAATTGGGCTCGGAAAATAAACGGCAGCCAGTGGAGCTCCTTAAACAGGAGGGTTGACCTCTCTCTGTAAGGAGCCCAGTTAACAACCTGGCTGCTGCCCGTTGGACCAGTTGGAATTTCTGTGCCGTTTTCAAGGGCAGCCCCACGTAGAGCGCATTACAGTAGTCCAATCTAGAGGTGACCAAGGCATGGACCACCCCGGCCAGATCAGCCTTCGCGAGGTACGGTCGCAGTTGGTGCACGAGTCTCAATTGTGCAAAAGCCCTCCCAGACACTGCCGACGCCTGAGCCTCAAGCATAAGCGATAAATCCAAGAGGACTCCCAAACTGCGGACCTGTGGCTTCAGGGGGAGTGTAACCCCGTCCAACACAGGTTGCCTCCCTACACCCCGGTCAGGCTTACGATCGATCAGGAGGATCTCTGTCTTGTCGGGATTGATCTTCAGCTTGTTCCTCCTCATCCAGATAGACACAGCGGCCAGGCACTCGTCCAGCACCTGAGAGGCCTCCTTGGAGTTAGGTGGAAATGAGTAATAGAGTTGTGTGTCATCTGCATAGAGGTGGCACCTAACTCCAAAACTCCGATGACCTCTCCCAGTGGTTTCATGTAGATGTTAAAGAGCATGGGAGTCAGAATAGAGCCTTGCGGGACCCCACAGGTCAAAGGCCAGGGGTCCGAGCAGGCGTCTCCCAGCTTCACCATCTGGGATTCGACCCTCCAGGAAGGACCAGAGCCACGACAGAACCGTGCCCCCGAGACCCATCCCAGAGAGACGACCCAGAAGGATACCATGATCGATGGTATTGAAAGCCGCTGAGATGTCCAAGAGAACCAACAGAGTCACACTCCCCCTGTCCAGCTCTCTACGGAGGTCATCCACCAAGGCGACCAAGGCTGTCTCGGTGCCGTGACCAGGCCTGAAACCAGACTGTGACTGATCTAGGTAGTTGATGTCATCTAAAAAGCCCTGGAGCTGGGAGGCGACCACCCGCTCCAGCACTTTGCCCAAAAAAGGGAGGTTGGAGATCGGTCTGTAATTGTTCAGCACCGTGGAGTCAAGGGAGACCTTTTTAAGGAGTGGACGAACCACTGCTTGTTTCAGATGAGATGGAAAAAACCCCTGCTCCAGTGATGCATTAATGATCAACACAAACCAATCAACCAACCCCTCCCTGGCCGATTTAATTAGCCAAGATGGGCAAGGGTCTAGAGCCGACGTGGTCGCCCTCACAGCCCCAAGCACCTCTGCCACGGTCTCAGGAAGAACAAGCCTAAAAGAATCCCACAAAATTGGACAAGCAGATGCCTCAATCACCTCCTCTGGCACTGTGATGAAATTGGAGTCGAGCTTGAGGCATATCTGAGCAACTTTGCCTGCAAAATGGTGTGCGAACCCGCGACACCGAGTTGCTGGGTCGTCGAAGGTCCCCTCCACCACAGGTGGGTGAAGGAGTTCCCCGACGACACGAAACAACTCTGATGATCTATTTGCTGCAGACGCTATACGGGCAGTCGTGAAGGACTCCTTGGCTACCCGTATAGCCACGGTATACGCCCTAAGAGAGGCAGTAGCCCGTGCTTGGTCAGACACGTCCCGAGAACTCCTCCAAATGCGCTCTAGCCCCCTTCTCGTATGCTTCATCACAGCCAGCTCCTCGGTGAACCAGGGAGACGGCATGTCATGACGCAACGTGATGGGGCGTTCGGGAGCGATCGTATCTATCGCCCTGGTCATCTCCCTGTTATAGAGGTCGACCAAGACGTCGACAGAATCTCCAGGCTCCATGGCAGGAAGAACCCCAAGATTCCTCAGGAATCCCTCCGGATCCATCAGTCTCTTGGGGCGGACCATCTTAATCTGTCCTCCACCCCTGCGGAGGTTGAGGGTCGCAGAGAGTCTAAAACTGATCAGATAGTGATCAGACCATGACACAGGAAGGATGTTTTGTTCTTCCACTCTGATCATTCCACTGTCCGCCACAAAAACTAGGTCGAGTGTGTGTCCAGCCTGATGGGTAGGGCCAGATATAATTTGTGATAGCCCCATGGTCGTCATGGCGGCCATGAAATCCTGAGCTGCACCAGTCAAGGAGGTCTCAGCATGAATGTTAAAGTCTCCCAGCACAACCAGGCGCTGGGAGACCAAGGCCGAATTGGAGACCACCTCTGCTAGCTCAGTCAGGGAATCTACTGGGTCGCGGGGTGGGCGGTACACCAGCAGAAACCCCACGCTATCACGGTTCCCCACCCTCAGGTGGACACACTCAAACCCAGATGCTTGCGGAACAGAGCATCTGACCACGGCGATGGATTGCCGATAGACAACTGCGACCCCTCCTCCCCGCCCCCCCAGCCTGGCCTGCTGATGCACTCCGAAACCCGGTGGGCACAGCTGAGTGAGATTTACTCCCCCCAGCTCGTCCAACCAGGTCTCGGTAATGCAAACCTCCATAACGCCAAAACTTCCATATGCTGAAATGCCAAAACTTATTTCCCTAAGGACAATGCCAAGGATCAGATCTCTGTTTTCCATACAGTAGAGCCTGACTCCTTGCACAAAATCTAAGACTCCAAAAGTGCACTTCTTCCTCTTTCCTTGAGAAAGAAGCACCAAAGTGACCAGGCTGCTCTTGTGCAGATCTGCCACTATCCATAGGTACACTATCTCTCTCCTTCCCATGGAGCAGAGCATAGTGGGTGAAACAGACTCCTCAGGTCGGTCACACTTTGAGCATTATTAGACTGAGTCTTTTATAGGAATACTAGCTGTACCCTGCCGCGCGTTGCTGTGGCCAGCCTTCTCTCCCCCTTTCCCTTTCTTTTCCTCCTTCCTTTCCTCGTTTTCTTCTTTCCTTTCTCCTTTCCCTACCTGTTTACTCCTTACTTAGCTGTTTGCACTTCATCATCCTTCTCATGATTCGCTTGTCCTTCCTGCGTCTTTCCTATCCTTATCTTTTCCTTGCTGCGTCATTTCCTCCCTGCACATTGTTTATTTCCTTCTATAATAATTCAATCTGTACACTCTTTCCTTCCTCAAATCCAC